AGACTTCACGAAGAGAAAGCTAACTTTTTACCGCCATAATCTCCTCTGAAACTCCTGAAGACTTCTCTTCCCCCCTCATTCTTCCAGCCTGACAAAGTCGTACAAATTTTATCATAATTTGGCCTATCAGAGGACTACAGAACAAGAATGGTTCACGTGGGATCACGTGTTACAAACTTTCAACTATAGGGTGTTTTAAAAACTTTAATAAAATGCTCTGGATTTGCTTCTCTAGACTAAAGCCACTTGCTACCTTGAACTCCTCACTAGTCTAAACCAGATAAAGCTCTACGAAAGGTCCATGCTCCGTCTTAGCTGTGGGCCTTTGCACATGCTGGTCCCGCTTCAACTAGCTAACTTCTCATGTTTCAGGTGGTGGCTAAGATATCAGTGACGCAAGGCAATCTTCCCCGCCTGGAGATTAGACTTGATGCCCCGGTCCTTCTTACGTCCCCGTCACTGCACTGCTGTATTATAGTTGCCTGTTAAATCTATTTCCGCTACTAGGTTCTAAATGCCTTAAGGACAGGGCTAGATTTTGTTCTGTTCACACTGCTGTAAAGGTGTTCATGACTTAGTGAACGAACGAACGCATCCCACGTGCCTAATGTCATGTGTATTCTCCCTGCTTGGAATGTTCTCCGCACTTCTACCGCTGCCATGAGAGTCTCTCTCCATGATCCGGTCCTTAATTATCACTATTTCATCTGGATGCCTACGGCCCTTACCGTTCCTACTACTCATCTGATATCTGACCTACCTCGTTTTTCTAGTCACTCTCGTGCTGCATAGACTCAATCCCCGTAACTAAACTGAGCAGTCTGGAAGGCATTAGTGTCTGTGTTTGTCTTGGTACCCCATTATCTAGCTCAGTGCTACGTACATAGTAGACCTTAAATATTCGTGGAAGAAACAAAATTCTAAGAGGTTGTTCCTTATACGAAGCTGACAGTACTTCAGTGATACTGACGACGAGCGGTGGCAGTTAAACGTTTTGTCCATGCACAGGACACAAAAAGATACACTGAAGTAGAGACAGTACAGATAAGAAAAAAAACTGTTCTCGAGAGATAATAATGGACACAAACATTAAGAGGCACTTTAAACATAGCTACATTCACGAGATAAAGCTAAGTAGCCTGATGGGTTCCAAAGAGACCTGTGTACACATTAGAACGCGATTTTATTTTCAGATCGAAGGACGATCGCGTTTGCACACGAATTCGGGAAGGTCTGTCTTGGAGAGACAGATCCTTGGGGCTCGGCCAGGCCGGGCGCCCTGTGGGCAGAGGGGTTCGCTGGTGGCGCCGATTTGCCGCCGGTGTAGACAGCTCGCCCTCCGCATCCCGACGGAGTGAAATCTGAACCGCAGGCAACTTGGCCCCTCGTTCCAGTGCCGGCGTTGGAAAGGCGCCCAGTGAGCCTGGTATCTGCACAGGTGGCAGTCTGGGGACGAAGTTTGGCCCCCCTCTCAAGCTAACAGAGCCTGCTAGTCCTGCGGGAGAGCGGGGCGCTCCAGGTGCCCGCTGGGCCGTGCCCCCAAGGGTGTCCCGCGCCCCTTCCTCAAGTCCTCCGTGCCCCTCGTTTCCCTCACGCGCTGCGGCGCCCAGGCGGCCCCGAGCACCTTTGTTCTGGGCGCCTCCCGCGCCCCGCGGTCACGAGCGCAACGCCTCCCCCACAGGTCCCCTTGCCCTTCAGCGGGAGAGCGGGGCGCTCCAGGTGCCCGCTGGGCCGTGCCCCCAAGGGTGTCCCGCGCCCCTTCCTCAAGTCCTCCGTGCCCCTCGTTTCCCTCACGCGCTGCGGCGCCCAGGCGGCCCCGAGCACCTTTGTTCTGGGCGCCTCCCGCGCCCCGCGGTCACGAGCGCAACGCCTCCCCCACAGGTCCCCTTGCCCTTCAGCCCGCGGGGACCGCCGGAACGAGCCACTCGGAAGCGGCGGATACTTTGCCGCCGCGGCTCTCTGCCTCCGGCGCGGGCCCCCGAGCGCCTTTCTCACCCAGCCGGGGACGTGGGAGCCGCGGAGGACACGGGGCGCGCGCAGTCTGAGGCGCGGACGAACCATCGTTGTCAGCATAAGTGTGTCTTAAACGCCGCACGCGCTCGGCCTGCGGCGCGTCGGTCAGCGCGCTCCTCGCGTCCCCTGCACTGTCCCTGTCTCGACTCCTGTGCACGAACGTGGACGGCGAAGCCCACTGCAAACGACCGTTTGCCCTGGCGGGGGGCTGCACCCGAGACATCCACTGCCTCCCCCTCCCGTAAGCGCTGTTATTTGGCTGACGTTCTCTCTCGCACACGCCTTGGGGCAGTTTTCCTTTGATCTGTGGCTCGTGGGGACAGTCTCACTCACACACACACACTCACACTCACACAGAGCTCCCCTCTGCTAATTTGCCTCTCTGAACTCTTCCCTTTGGTTTCTGCAGCGTCCCTAATTATTTCAAAACACCTAAATCTGCCAAGGGACAGTAAAGTGAAAATGTATGTAAAGTCCACGTTGAAAGACAGGTTTATACTCTTTTGTCACCACTATTAGCAAACGAAACGATCTTGAAATATGCTCCAGTTCTCCTAGAAACTGCATTTCCCAGTGTAAATGTCACCCGCAGTCTTGAAGACAGTAACGCGGTGCAATTTTTTATTCGTTGCTGCCTTCTCTAACCTGCCACACAAGACAGGCAAATAATTACGAACTCACGTAGAGGCTCCCTGGATTAAAGATAAATCTGATGAAGACAAAAAATGTGCACGGCCCAGGCACTAAGCTCTACTTTCTTTCAAGACTCATGTTACACTCCAGCTTTCCTGAGAAGAGGAAATAAATCCTGCTTGTCAGGACTTATTTCAATAAGAATAAAGTTTCCAATTGCAGCACTTGAAGAGAATTCCATGTGCATGCAATGGCTTGCTAAAAGCTAGAAGGCATAAGAAAACTTTTTCAAATTCAAGAATCTAGGGAGTGTTTGGCAGAGTAGTAGGAGGTGAACCTGGGTGAGCAGAAGCCTGATGGCGAAAGGCCTTGTATTTCATTCTAAGAAGTTAATGCTTGTTCCTGTAGCCAGTGAAGGGTCTTAATCAGGAGAGTAACGTGATCGAATCTGTATGTCCATTAAACCACTCTGGCTTAAGCGGGAAGCTTGGACTGGAGGGAGTTCGGATTGGAGTCATGGCTTTAATGCAATAGTTGTCATAAAATAAAGGCCTTAACCTGGCAGTGGCAGTACATCAATTCCTGAGATATTATGCAGATGTAATTGGTAGGACTTAGTGACTAGTTAGATGCTTCTGACTCATTATTGTCTTGTTTCTAGATCGGTAATGGCCTCCTTTATTAACGCCTGTACCATCATCGGCAAATATGTATTCAGCATCTGTTCTGTTACAGAGGAGCAATCTACACTAGAGAAACCCTAGACACTTCCAGTAATTTCTCTGAGGGCTGAATATCGTCACTAAATCTTTTTACTCAGGTAAGGCATTGTCCGGTAATGCTCTAACTTTTTTTAAGATGTAGGAACCTACACAATATATATTTTGTGAGAGATTGTCAGATATAACGTAACAAAATAATCTTTCAGAAACTCTCATACAGATTATCTTGCTGGATCTTAATAACAGGTTTTTTTGGGGGGGGGGTCCTCATTCCTGTTAGATAAAGAAGACCAGGGCCACGTGGTGACGAGTCAGATCTACAACCATGCTATTCCCACTGTCCTTCCACTGTTCTTTACACTAAACATGTTGCCTACAAACAAACGCAAGATTTCATTCAAAGTCTCTAGAGGCCGTGCAGAATCATAACATTTTAAATCAGGCAAGACCTCAGAATTCCGAAACGCCCAAGCCTACAGATAACTTCTCAGAATTCTTGAGAAGTTTCATTAGAATCTCCTACAGGCAGTATTGGCGTGGAATAACATATTTTCACTGAAGCAGTTCTCATCGTAAGCCAACTCCTCTGATGAAGAAATGCGAATAACATTGGAATACCCAAGTAGTTACTCTATGACAAGCTAAAGTGGGCAAACATGAGCCAAATAAGTCAAAGAAAATCAGGGCACCCAGAAATAGAATATGAAGCACAGTGAGTTGTGCATTGCTGGAGAGCTACAGCAGCGGACCGGCCAACTTGGCCTAGAGATAAATGTCCGAAATAAATTAAAGAGACAGAGGAGCGCACAATAAAAGCCACTGTCCACAGATGTTGCAGATACGGAACGCAGGACAGTACTTTATTAATGCAATGATTATATCTATATATGTATATACTATTTTGTAATTCACGAAGTGCTTCTTCCTACCTTATTTAATCCGGAGACATTGGAGATTAGGTATTATTTATTAATATTCCCATATTTATGAGGAAACAGGCTAGATAGATTGTTACTTGACAGAAGTCAAAAAGTAATGGGATGAAGACCAAACCTAGGTTTTATGACTCCAAATACAGTGCTCTTTCCATGTAATTACACCCGAAACGTGGAAGAAATTCTTGAGTACTTCAAGAAGGCCGCAGTGGTCTTTCTTTCTTCTAGAGAATGCCAGAACTTACTCCTACCTAAGTGCATTTGCACTTGCTTTCCGCTCTATCTGGAGCATCCTTCCCAGACACTCCTTAATGACTCAGCCACCACCTGCTTAGAGAAGCTTTTATACTACACCTTATCTAAAGAAGCACCCCCTCCCCGCCCCCGTCCCTGACACTCTATCGCATTGCCTTGTTTGATTTCCCTTAAAATCTTGCTACTTCAAGTGTGAGCTGTGGACCCTTAGCACTGGCGTCACCTGGGAGCTTATACGAAATGTAGACTCTCAGGTCTCACTCTGGACCTAAGAGGTCAGAATCTGCATTCTGGTAAGAATTCCCTGCGTCATCTGTATGCACGTTACAATTTGAGAAGCGGTTTTAGAGCATATATCACTTTCTGAAAGTAACTTGTTTATTTTTTGTGCATTTTTAAGAAAAACTAAATATTTTTAAATATTAAGTATTTCATGATAACTGAAAATTATAAAGGAAAGATAACGGACACCCAGATACCTGCAACCCAGCTCAATCATAGGGTAACGTTTTATTATATTTGCTTTAGATCTTAAAAATAATAATTTAGCAAAGACCCCTGTGTTGCCCCTCTCCAACCCTAGCCTCTTTGTCCTCATAGGTTTATTCCTGTTTTATTCTCTTCTGTGGATTTTGGGAAGAAGAGGAGACGAATAGATTTGATTAAAACCCACCATGATTATCTGGATGTCCCACATATTTTATGAGGCAAGCATAAACTTAATACCAAATGTGGACAAGGATTTTACAAGAAAATTATATGTCAACTTACTTACGAACATAAATGAAAAACTAGAAAAATAAAATAGTGAACTCAATCCAACGTTGTATAAAAAAAATACATCAAGACCAAGTATGCTTTATCCCAGAAATGCAAAGAGGCTACGTATACATGCATAGACTCGTGTATTCTATAGCTTTTGGGAGTAGTTTACCTATATGTCCGTTACATTAAAGTTGATAATTGTCCATACAATAGACAAATTTTAAAGAATAACTATCATATACAAACATACATAATTCAGAAAAGATTTTCAATAAAATTTAATACTAACTCAAGATTTTGAAACTCTTGGTTAACTCAGAATAGAAAAGATCTTCTCTCTCACCATAAAAAAAATCTGTTTCAAGCATTTTACTGAATGATGACACTTTTAGTAGTGTTTGCTTAAAGATGGGACTATGCCAGCAATGCCCACTTACCCAACTACTGTTCAACGTTGTGTTGGATGGAAGTAGTGATCAATGCAATAAGATAAGGAATAAAAACCAAGGTATAAGGACTGAAAGAGAGAAAATAGTAGTAATTTGTATATTATATCATTTTCCAGATAACAAAGATAATCTATAGATAAACTAATAAAAAAACAGTTAATCAAGGTTGCTAAGTAGAAGGTCAACACAAAATAAAAAGTACCCTGTAGGGCGTATAAAAAATTTAACTTGTCCAAATTTTCTACACGTTTCTTATTTGTGCACTTTGTTCTGTTGGTGTTAAAATGTCCCACTATGAATGTGAATTTCTTGATTTTTTCCTTGCAATTTGGTCAACTATTGTTTTGTATATTAGATTGCTGTTATGAGGTACATACAAGTTCATGGTTGTTATATCTTTGTAGTGGCCATTAAAAGATTCTGAAGTCAGTTAATGTTCCTACCCTTCTCGTAAAAAAAGGTTAGAACTCTCAACTTTCCCCTTTTATCTTCCATGTTAAAGTAGTTTAAATTTTAATTCTATAAACCTCTTCAAATTAATTCTTATCATGTTTTTTTACAGTCAGTACTTACTTGGATTTTTCAACATGATTTACTGATTTCTTTGCTTAACATCTATTATATCACACTCCTTACTTCCGGTTTCAATTTTAGTCTTGCCGGAATGCATCCTTTGGTAGTTCTTTCACTGAAGTTCTGTATGTGGTAAACTGAGTCTTGGGACACCTGAAAATATTTTTATTTCATCCTTACTTTTGCTTAATAGTGCAAGCGGTTATCACATTCTAAGTCGATAATTACTCCATTAGATTTTCTTGGGCCTAAATTTTCCTATTACCTGTTCTGATTTTCTTTTCTAGTGGTAAGATTCTCTGAAGGCTTTATAATTGTTTGTTAAGATCTCTTTTTTAGAGAGAGTTGTCTTTCCTAAGAATTCTGCATGTACACCAGATTGTAGAGATGTCGCTGATGGGACAGTTTCGTCTTTCCTTCTGCAGTGTCCTTATAAAATTTACCAATTTGGGACCAGTTTTTCCTCTTTTTTTAGCATTTGTTTTTCACACCGTATGTAGTACGTATATGGACCCCACACCCACACACAGTGCAGATTTTTCATGGAGGACCCACAGCTGAGAATGGACTTTCTGCTTATAAGTCCGCATTCGTAGGCCAAGGGTCATAGTTTTAGTAGGACTTCTTACTGCGGAAAGCCCAATTCCAGCTCACTACCCACACATCGGGTCTGTGGCTTCTCAGCCATTCAGCAGGGCATTAAAACCCCAGCCACATGGGGTCGGAGAAACGGTTTGACTACAAAGGAGCACGGAAGAGTTTTGAAGAATGATAGAACTGTTTCATATCTCGATCGTGGTAGTCGTTGCACTACTATATGCATGTATTAAAACTCACACTATATTGTACACCTGAAACTAATATAACCAATATACGATTGTATACCACCTATACTGAAACTAAAAAAAGAAAAAAAAGAATATTATAAAATTTATGACAACGAAGAGTGAGTAAAAAAAAAAAAACTTGCAGAACTGTACACCAAAGGATGATTTTTCCTTTATATCTTAATTTTAAAAAGAAAAAAAAATAACCCAGACTTTGTCTTGCATCTATATCTGATTCCTCTCTCGGGCACTGGGCTTCAACTCTGTTCACTGTTCGGTCTTTTGGCTTCCCTTTCCCCTAAGTGTCTTACCCCCAGAGAGTTACTTTATTTGCTTTCAAATTCAACTATGCATTTTTAAAACCCGGAGTGGTGTTGTGATTCCTATCCAACTTCTCTATTTATTTGGCGTGTAGAAGGGAGCACATCTCACACCTCGTCAGTTAACCCCGTTGACTCCACTGCATACCTCCTGACCTGCCTGGTATTTGTACTTTAAGGAAATACGGCCCAAAAGTTAACACAAAAAAATAAGATAAATTTTTATATTATAGATGTTCATACTAGTGCTGTTTATAATAGCAACTTTTGAAAACAATTCCAAATCTTCCAAAAGAAGTTTAATGAAAAACCTCGACAACAATTACATGAAAAGTATACGGACTTGTATTGCTATATGGAAGATTATATATGAATAACGTTTAGTAAAGCAGGACACATATCCATTTTCATTACTGTTAGGATTTCAAAAGAGCACAGTACAAAATGCATAGGTGATGTTTTAAAGTTCTGTTTATCACTTTTCGCCCTTTCTTCAGGGGAACGTTTAGCGCCTTCTAAGCACCGCACTAATTTAACTGGAGTCATCTAATTTCATTCTCTCAAAAGCCCATGTAGACTAGGTTATATTATAACCCCCACTTTTCTAATAAGGACAAGACAGCGTAGGGCTTGCCCAAGGACTCAGAGGTTGGAAGCGGTAGAGCTGATCTCCAAATTCGGAGGGGCTGACTGCAAAGCCCATGCTCCCATCATTATTCCATAGAGCTTTTTAGTCACAGTTGTTTGTATTAAAACATTTTAAAAACTCATGCAAGGTTTTAGTTATTTTTTAACCTAACAAAAGTTTACAGATTCGAGTCAATTTTATCACTTTACTTTCAGGTGAAAAACTATTTTGCCAATTTATAAATAAGTTGTTTCATTTGTGTGTTATACAAAATAATCATATCTTAATCCTTCTCGTGTATAATAATAACAGCTATTAATTATTGAGCACTTAATTTGTCATAGAGACTTGCTACACGCTTTATATATGAGCTCATATAATCTCAAATGTTGTATGAGGTAGGTAATATTAAACTTATAATCACATTATAATTTTTTTCTGCTGAGGGAAATCGAGACTTCCAGAGGTTAAGGAACTTGCCCTAGATTACTTACCGAGTAAGCAGTCGAGCCGGAACTCAAACCTAAGCCCGACCCCAAAGTCTGCTGTCGACCTAAACCATGCTGCTTCCTCACGCCATGCTGCTTCCTCACGCGTTTGTTAATACACGTCAGTTTCAGGAGCATGCCAAAGCTGCTTTTGCTCCCTAATAGTGTGGGCAACCTTATATATTGTAAAGCAGCAACCAAGCTTTTTCTTGGCAAAGAATGATCTTATGGGAATTTCTGCGGGACGGTGGGACCCTATGCAGACGAAACAATAGGAATCATCTCTTTCTGAGCGCTATGCATACCAATGTTCAGAAATTAATCAAGTGATTCCTTTAGAAATGTTGCTAGGTGTGCCCTGCTTTCAAGTTTCTTGAAGATCTAATTAGCTTATGGTTTCATAGCTCCATGGTTTTACTCTAGTATGAAATCCTCCCTAAACAGTGAAAATGTGCATGGCACGTAGGCCCAGCATGACGCTATATGCAGCATGATGTTTTTAATCCGTCCTTCATTACCTTGCATTGTTGAATAATACTCCACTAAATGGATATACCAAATTTTGTTTATCTATTCGTCGGTTGATGGACATTTGAGTTGTTTCCATTTATGTACTTTTTAACTTTCCCTTGAGATGTCCCCTTTGACCCGTAGATTGTTTAGAAGTTATTTTGTGGTCGCCCTAGGAATTACGTTCTGTATGCACACCTTATCATGGTCTACCACTGTCAACATTTTACCAGTGAGAGTGGCGTACTGAAGCCTTGTCTCCTTGTAACTTGTTTTACATTCCCCTGTTAATAATTGTCTTAAATATTTGTTCTACACACACTGAGAAGGATATCAGACGATGATATAAGTTTTACTTCAATAATTAAATACCATTTAGAAATCTTAAGGAGGAAAGTCCTGGCCTCCCCCGTGGCCTCCCCTGACATCTCGACTAGGGGATCGCTAATCGTAGTCGAGTGAGGGGAGGAGTCTTGGCTCTCGACTCAGCCTTTGCTGACGGCAGTGGAGCCCCAGTTTATTTCCATGATTTTTGAGAGATTATTGTGTAAAAGTTTTCTGTCTTGCTCGGTTTCCTTCTTTCCTGTTCTTTGGCAAGAGAGAGTAGGCTTTGATTAGGGCTTTTATTTGGTCCACGCTCGTTGGCGTTTCTGGCTTGTTGACCTCTCTACCACCTAGTCCAGGATACATGAGGGAAAAACAAAACCCCGAGCGCTCACCACCATGTCATTCCTTGGGTTTTGGCATCTTTAGTCATTCTGTCTTTTCTCCACATTTTAGCCTTATGTTTGTTTTAGATCTAGCGTCCACGGTTTTTGCCTTGTTCTTAGTTGGAAGAAGGACAAAAAATAAATTTACTCCTTTTTGTGCAGAACTGGAAGCATCTCTTTTGCCCATTTTGTCTTGTATTATTTATCTTTCCATTATTGATCTCTAAGTCTTTATATAGTCTCGAAACAAGTTTTACACGTGTGTGTGTGTGTGTGTGTGTGTGTACACATGGAGAGAGAGTGTTGGTCTTTTACTCTCTTAACGGTGTCTTTTGTTAAAGAGAAGTTTTAAATTCTGATAAAGCCTTATTGATCAGTTTTTTTCTTTTATTTTTTTAAATTTTTAAATTTTTTATTTTTTATTCACTTATTTTTTTGTCCTAAGAAAACTTTGCCAACACTTAGGTTGCAAAGATATTCTTCTGTGTTCTCTTCTAGGGTGTTTATAGTTCTAGCATTTACATGTAGGTTTATGATCCATCTGAAATTGATTTTTGTGCATGATATGAGGTAGGGATTACATCGATAGCCAGCTGTCCCCTCACCATTTGTTGAAAAATATGATTTTGTTTCATATCCCACATATAAGTGATATCATGTGATTTTCAACTTTTTCTGGGTTATTTCGCTTAGCATGATTATCTCGAGGTCCACCCATGTAGTCGCAAATGGCAGGATTTCATCTCTCCTTATGGCTGAGTAACATTACATTGGATATATGTACCACAGCTTCTTTAGCCAATCATCTATCGTAGGACACTTCAGTTGCTTCCATGTCCTGGCCACTGTGAATAATTCTGCTATGAACATCAGTGTGAAAATATCTTTATGGATATGGGTTTTCAAGTCTTTGGGTAAATACCCAGTAGAGGGATTGCTGGATCGTATGGTAGATCCATTCTTAGTTTTTTGAGGAACCTCCATGCTGTTTTCCATAGTGGCTGTAGCAATTCGCAGTCCCACCAGCAGTGTATGAGGGGTCCTTTTTCTCCGCCTCCTCTCCAACATCTGTTATTACTTGTCCTGTTGATAACAGCTATTCTGAGATGTGTGAGAAGGTATCTCATTGTGGTTTCGATTTGCATTTCCCTAATAGGTAGCGATGTTGAGCATCTTTTCATATATTTGTTGGCCATTTGTATGTCCTCTAGGGTGAAGTGTCTGTTCAGGTCCTCTGCCCGTTTTTTTTGATTGCATTGTTTTTGCTGTTGTTGTTGTTATTGAGTTAGGTCACCCTTCTTCATGAATGTGATTCCCCTCCCTCACCTCTTATACTATTTTTCTCATATTAAAAAAATACTCTTTACCTTTTTCCTCACCTATTTGCCATGGCAAAACTAAAACCACATATCTAAAATTGCTGTCTATAATTTCTCCCACAATTCTTTCTTAAAGTCACTCCAACCATGTGGATAGTTATGTTATCAACTTGAGCTCTTTCTTGTCTGTTATAGGTATTTACTGCCATAAATTTTCCTTTAAGCATCCCTTTAGCTGCATTCTATAAGTTTTGGTATGTTGTGTCTTTATTTTCACTCATCTGAAAATATTTTCTGATTTACTTTTTGATCTCTTCTTTGGTCTGTTTGTTGTTTAGGAGTGTGTTATTTATTTTCCACATATTTATGGGTTTTGCCATATTTTGCCTTTTATTGATTTCTGATTTCATTCCATCATGGTTAGAGACCATGCTTTGTGATATTTCTACCCTTTTAAATTTATTGAGGTTTGTTTTATGGCCTAGCATATGCTCTAACCTCAGGAATGTTTCTTCTGTGCTTGAAAAACATGTATAACCTAGAGTGTTCTACAGATGTCTGATAGGTCCGCTTGGTTTACCTTTGTTGAGTTTCTTGTATGTGTAGATTTTTTTCAGTAAATTCAAATTTTCAGCTTTTCTTCAGATTTTTTCTCCCCCTTTTTCTTCTTATCCCATTATGCGCATGTTCATGTGCTTAATGATACCTCACCCCCTTCTGAGGCTCTTTTCATTTAAATTTTTTTCTCTCGGTCCGTTCAGCATGCACGATCTCATTAATATCTCTTCAAATTCCTTCATTATTTTTTATGCCAGTTCGAACCTACTGTTGAGCCCCCATATATTTTTTAGAATTTTCAGTTATCGTACTTTTCGACCTTGGAATTTCCATTTGGTTCTTTAAAAATGTTTCTACTTATTTATTGATAAACTATTTGATGCAACATTGTCATCATATGCTCCTTTACTTATTTAATCAAGTTTTAGTTCCGTGACTATATTTACAATAACTACTTCAAAATCTTTTCTGTTAAATCTAATGTGTGGTCTCTCTCATGGGAAATTTTCGTTGCCTGTTTTTTTTTTAACCTAGTGAAGAGGTCATATTTCCATGTTTCTTTGCATGACTTGTAATTTTTTGTTGGAAACTGCATATTTTAGAAAATATAGTGTATCAACTCCGAGTACTGCTACCTCCTCTTTGACTTGTTATTGTTATTTGCTTCTTTATTTGTTAAGAGACTGGCTGAACTGTTTTAGTAAAGTCTCTTTCCTCCTCCAGCGTCCACAGAACCAAGGTAAGGTATACATCTGAAAGGTGATACAGCTATTCGTTTGGAAAAAAGCGAATCCCAGTATTTGTTCAGAACATCGGCTATCTTTTAATTAATAGATTTTTTGTTCCTAAGAATTCGAAATTACGATGCAATGGCTTAAGCAGCACCAAAGTCAACTTAAATTAAGAAATTCCTGGAGTTTGGGGCACAAAGGGATGGTCAAGGAGTTCATTGGAGGACTAAGTATTAGTATAAAATCATATCAGGATTTTCCAGCTTAGTCACATAGTACAATTTTGGGTTTCATAGGATAACTCTGGTACTGCAGGTGTAATATGATCTAGTACCAGCACAATATGTGGTATACATAGAGGAATATGAGCTGGACTAATCTGAGGACCTGGGTTACAGAAACAGCCAAATTGTTCCGATCGCGCTTAGGTTCAAATCCGTGCTGTCGCACTACCGCCTCAGGTCGTCAAAAGGCTTACATGAGATAACTAAAACGTCCCGTAAGAAAAATAGAGTTGAATATTCATATTGTCTTTTGCCTTCCCTCAACTCTACTACTGGTGATGTAACTCTAAATTAGATTCATAGGTCTCAATTTTCTCACCTGTAGAACAGGCATTATCATACTGGGCTTAAGTACTTCACTATGTTGAATGAGATAAGCCGCATAAAAGTGTTTTGTAAAGACATAAACAGATGCACGTGAAGGATTTCTACTGATACGTGCAATGGGTTTGTTGCTTCCGTTATTTCCAGTAACAGCAGCTTCAGTTTGCCCATGTGACCAGACCAAATGAACTTAAACGACGCCGAGCCGGCCGCGCCTTCCCAGGTGTGCTTGGCCGCTATGCCTTCCCTTATGTCTGTCGGCTGGGCCCGACGCTGTGCAGTTACCATGGCGGTGCCGACGGCATTTCACATCCACTACCCCTTGATTTCTTTTGAAGAGTTAGAAAGAAACTGTCCACTCAGCACAGAAGCTCGAGCGGAGAACGTGTGGGCAGTAATTTTCGACGTCGGCGTGTACGGAGGCGTCGTAGAGCTGGCTGGGGTGCGGGTTCCCAGGGCCTGCATTTCAGATGCGCGTTCGCGACGTCTGAGATGGAACCCAGGGACGCGAAAGGAAAGGCGGGGTGCTCCGTGCGCAGTCGGTCAGTTTGCAGCGTGCACCCCAGCTTTTCCCGGCTCCCCACTCGCGCTGTCTGCACAATTCCCCAGGTGGCCCGGAAGACGGTCCCGCCACGCGGCCGTGTCGCAGCGGGACACCGAAAGGGTTAAGGAGCCGCGCACGGCGGAGTGGCAGGGGCGGGAGCCGAGGACGGAGCCCGGGGGGCGGGGCCGGGGCGGCGGCGGCGACACGGAGCCGGCCGGGACCTCGGGGTGAGAGGGCACCGCGGGTCGGAGGTTCCGCGGGACGGCACGTGAGCATCGGGCCCTGCTGTCCTCTGTCCGTAGGGGTCCGTAGCTGCGGGGACAGCCGGCGTGCGGCGTATGGCCACGGGGTTACGCTGTGCGGACTCCATGCCCTGTCACAACCAAAAAGTAAACTCTGCCTCGACCCCGAGCGCCGAGCCGCCGCGACCTGGCGACGAGATCGCGGATCATGCCGGGGGCAGCGGCGCCTCGGACACCAAGCCCAGCCTCGGCACGGGGCACGCCCACGGCGACGCGCCCGCCGACGGGACCCCTCAGGCCTGCGGGGTCGCCGGCCACAGCACGGACAGCAGCCTCGGGGACTGCGAAGTGTCCTGGCAGATCGGGGCTCAGCTCAAGCTGCTGCCCATGAACGAGCAGATCCGGGAGCTGCAGACCATCATCCGCGACAAGTGAGCCGGGCCGGAGGCGGGCGGGAGCCGGGGTCCCCGCGGGGGCAAGGGCCGTGGCACGTCGGGCCTGGTCTGTGAAGGGGAGCGGCACGTAGCCCGCCTCGCCAACCGTCCTCCCCCGTCTCTCCGCTGACGGTCGCTTTGTGCTCGCTAGGGACCTTCTCGGTAGCGTCCCGCTTCCTCTCGGCCCCCCTGAGCGGCGACGAACGCAGTCCCCGGGTGGCGCACGCGCCACGCTGTGCTGCGCGTCCGCCGCCGGGCCGCGTGCTGACCCTGTGACCCAGGCACGGTTGCCCCGCAAGGTTACAGGCCACCTCCAGGCACCTCGGGCACAAACAAATAGAGCGATGGCGACAAAATGTGCCCAGCCGACCCCGCCGTGCTCGCTATCGCGGGCGTGTCATTTCTCGGAGCGTACGTTGACTCGGTCACGTGCACGCTCACAGTCCAGCTCCTCTCGGCACTGTTTACTGTCACCTGGAGAACGTTACCGGTGCCCGCTACGCTTATCACAGCGTTCGGCGCCCCTCCTCATCCCACAAGCCAGCGTAGCCTGACCTTCACCTTAAACGCTAAATTAAAATCTCAAAACTCATGTTGTACATGGCGTTTTTCAAGGGACATGTGTACCACGATGAGCTACAGCTGTCTTCTCTACTGGCAGGACTTTAAATGAGTGGCTTCTAACTTTCCAGCGGGTGCCTTGATCCTTCTAAATAGCTACTGAGCCACGATGCCACTGGCGAAATCAGATTAGTAACTTTTTCTTCACACCATTAGACTAGGTCCCCTATTTGTGTCCCTGCTCCAAGTTTCCCGTCTCCCACTTCCAGCCACAACCCTATTAACACACCACTTTGACCGGCAGCTTGCCGTGGCCTCCCAAACCGAGGCCAGGACCCTCGGCGTGACAATAAGGTCCCTCTTCGTGGTTCCCAGGAACGATTCGGAAGGGATGCCTGCTCCTTTTCCCATCTGAAATTCTCTCTAATCCTCTGCGTGTTCAAATCCCACCTATTCTTCAAGGCGAAAAACAGCGTTAAAGTCCACCTCTGCCAAGAAGCTTTCCTTTAATCACTCTTCCGCCCCTCTTCCTTGGCCTATTCAATGCAAGATTCACCTTTTATTACGTATATTGTTATTTCTGTGTTGATCTTTCGCCATCCATTAGATTTTAAGCTCCTTGAGAACAAAAACTGTATCTTCTACATTTTGAATTCCAGCCATGCCTTACAAATAATACTCAGTTACTCAAGGTCCCTTTTAAAGCTCTCAAAAGTTATTGTTATGAAACTATACTATTTAACTGTTTTTAATGACTGTGTATTGAAAACCACTGTGATCGTGTGATCTTCAAACGTAGGCAGCATAGGCCTGGTAGCTGTGCTGTGGGAATCTGAAATAAACTTATCTGTAAAACAAAGAAAATAGGATGATGATTCTTGTTTCTCTAGAGCAGGAGTTACTGACCTTGAGTCTTCTACCCCACTGCACCTGTAGATGAGCTTTCGTGAACCTTCAGAAATTATCTGGCAAATGTTATTTTCCGTATGTGCATTTTTTAATGCTTGTTTTTAAAATAACATCTTCGCTGACATATAATTCACATAGCTTACAATACACTGTTTTAAGGGTCCAATCCAGTGGGTTTTAAGTATGTTCTTGGGTGCGCAAGCATCGCTACAATCAATTTTAGAACATTTTCATCATCCCAACAAGAAACCCCATACTCATGAGCAGTCATTCCCCATTTGCCCCAACCCCCCAAAGCCCCAGACAACCACTAATCTACTTCCTGTCTCTATAGATTTGCCTATTCTGGACATTTCGTGCAAACGGACTTGTACGACATGCGGTTTCTTGTGACTCGTTTCTTTTTTTCATTTAACGTAATGTTTTCAGGGTTCCTCCACGTTGTGTCATACACCATGCCTTTTTTGGCTGAATGATATTCAGGTGATGGACATTTGGGTGGTTTCTACTCTGGCTATTATGAATAATGCTGCTGCGAACATTTGCATGTGCTCTTTTTTTATGGGGTAAGGATTCCTTAGGTTTCATTAGGTTGTACAGAAGGGTCTTCATGACAATATAAGAGTGAACTGTCACTGTGGAACTTGGCGAGGGCATGGCATTCAGCATTCGTATATGAGAAGACCAATACCTGATTCTACTGTGTTAATCAGAAAAGCCTGGGTTGTATAGTACACCTGGGTGTAAGTGAAATCTTTTTTTCCCCCGAGTTTGGAGGGAGACAACGGGATCTAGAGTGATTTTAGGAAAGATATTTAGCGTTTCTGTGCTTCAAGTTTATCATTTGTAAAATGAGGACGTTGGTAGCATCTCACAGAGGTCTGGGGAGGCTACAACAAGATACTTTGCTGTCTGAACATTTATTATAAACGGGGAACAGCTGTGCACACTTACGGCGTTTCAAGCCTTCGTGTTGGGATGGTTCTGATGGTATCCATAAGTGCTGGTTTCTTGAGCTTTCGGGAGACAGTAAAAGGAATTAAACTGTACATACAACTCACCTTATTTTAAAATGCGACGCTGAGAGATTCTAGGTAATTTTTGTCCTGCTACCAAATAGTATGGAAAGACTCGCGACAAATTTTGATGACTTAGTTATGTAGACCGGAGACCGTTTGAATTTTGTTTTCGTTCATCGAATCCGTCAGCGGAGACCTCTGTTGCTTTTCTCTTCGAAAGTTGGCACCCCTTGCACAAACAAGACCTGCTCCATCTCATTTAGGGGGCTCGCGTAGGGCACCGCTAGTAAGCGGAACGTTTCCCTAGGTCTGGTGGAGGAGTCGCCCCTCGATCGCACCCCGTCTTACTCAGGGCTTTGGGCCGGCAGGGCCGCGTGTTGCTGTGACCGTATAAAGCAAGATCAAGCACATCGGACTGATTTCAGACGTCTTTATTTTTGGAAATGTACGGTATTTGCAACATAGTATGTCGGTGGTATTATTGGAATTTCAGGGGATGGTTTTCTCAGTGAGAGTGCAGTAATCTAAACACGCCCCTGGTCAGGTGATTGACTCCGTCACGCATGGGTCACTGATGAATTTCAGAAGAGAAATGACGTCGTTCCTTTCCAGTTCCTGTTGTCGCAGTGGATGAAACCACACACGCCCCCCTTCCTGCCTCCTCTGCGTACTAAACCCAGCGACACCTGAGTGTGATGTGCTTTTCCCTCCCACATACTTCATGACTCGTATGTAAGGCAACGCTGTGGATTTAAAAGATCATCTTCCTTTCCCAGGTTCTTGTTTCCTTTCGTCTCCGGAAACATGGAAGGAAAGCTGTTCGTGAGCCGGGGAGCATGTGAGTGTGTCCGGCATACTTTCTGGAAGACGTGTGCCGTGACCTCAGGACGAAACTTGGGTGAAAGCTGAGCAATCTTAGCTATTTTCGTCCATGAAGTAGCACTGAGGAAAGAGCACATTTAGTCTCGTAACCTTTTCTTAGTTCCCTGGAGGGGAGAAAATGAACCCCAGGATGGACGAACATCCCTGCAGCCCTCCTGTGAGTGCAGCTGGTGGGATTTGGCTCATCCGACCAGGTGACACGATGTTTTTGCCTGAAGCTGTGCGTCTGAATCTCTTGGGGGGTCTTTCTCTTCTCAGTTTCGGCCCTGTCGTCCCTTGGGTGGAGACTGAGCACCTGTCGCTCGACAAACACCTTGGTGGTCGCGCTGCGGTCAGGCCACTGCCCCCTGCAGCGGGAATCGCCTGCCTTCAGCTCCGGCGTGTAGGCCGAGCCAGGGACCCCACGCCCCGAACGCAGCCCCTAGAGAGCCTGGCCTGGCACCGCCCCGAGACCGGACGGGTCTCGGAACTTTTCCCTTCGAATGTACAAAAGCAAAACGTCCCTCACAGGAGAGTCTGTCACCTGCAAGTTGCTTAAAACGCGAGCATGTTTTTGGTTCCCTGCGGTTTCCACATGAATTTTCGAACTGACTCTCAAGCCAAGACGGAGGAAGTCGCACTCCTGCTGGAATATTTATCCGTGTGAGGTGTCGCCTACTCGTCTGGACTCCAGGGAGGAAGAAAGAATATCAGGCCTGTCACAGTACCTGACACATAGCGGCATTAATGTTGCAATCCTTATAAAAAGCAAATAAATGAACTTTGGAAGGACCGAGACCTGGGTTCTGAGGGCAATGATCCTTTCGCTTCTTTTTCTACCTGACTTTGAATGTTTACATTGAACTCTGCTTTGAGGTGCTGGTAAATAATTAATGACACTATTTTATGAGCTCTTTAAAGAAGGAGCTAAAGAGCCGTAGCATTGATGACTTGCACCTGGCAGGTAGTAAAAGCTATTTTTTTCAACTTCCCCTTCAGCTTAGGTTTGCTTCGGGTACTTCAGTGGGCATTTGTTTTTCTGAGTGGGCAGGAAGAAGGCAAACCATTTCTAAATCGTCTGCATACCATGACCAAGCTTGGAGCTATTCATTATTCTACCGGTCACATAATAAGAAAGTAGCTGTGGAAAGTTTATGTGTTCAGAGTTTTCACTAAACATTAACTTGAAACGAAACATTTCTTTGCCTTAAACCTGCCAGAAAAGGTTTTATGAGCCACTTCCCTTTACCTTGTCGCTTAAAAAACAAAAAAAGAAACAAATAAAAACAACTTAGAGCTGAATTCCAGTCCATGTCGTTCTTTCTCCCTTCCTTGGGTTGACGGGTAAAATACAGGACACCCCGTTAAATATGAATTCAAATATACTTTTCTCATATAACTATATCCTAAACGTTGCATGGGATGCATTTCTGAAATACAAATTTAGGTATCCTGTATTTTTATTTGCTAAATCTGGTGTGCCCAGCCCTAACTCCTCCGACACCAAATGCTGAAAACAGTCCTTGTGTATAATCCTCATCTTCGAAGTGACAGCTAATTCAGTGCTACTGGGACGTGATTACATTAAATTGGTTCAAGTTATGGGGCAGAGGTTTATATTTAGTCATTTTGGGGAAGGGTACACCTTAGCGTATGCTCTACAAGCCGTGTTACAGCTGCCTCCGGAGGGAACATTTTTATGAAGTTTTATGTGCCTGCCAGGCTCTTTATTTTATCGTTTGCATTGTATGTACATGCCATGATGATTCGCAGGGAGAGAAATATTATAAAAACATATCGAAAAACTGATTACCTTTTCGCAAACATTCCCTTGTTGAGGATATCACCGTTTAAATATCTGATATTTGGACCCTTGGATATGTTTTAGAATATTCCAGGGATATGTGCCAGTGTATTGATTGCTTTTTAATAATTTTGCATGAGATTTTATGTGGGGTGATTAAAATGTCTTTCAGAACTTTGTTTCCTAGTATGAGATGTTTTTTAACAGTGATTTTGAGACAAAAGAGAATAGAGTTATGATTTGAAACAGCACGTGGCATGAATAAAACCCGGGGTCCAGTTTACATTCAAGCACCTTTCTTAAATAATTTAGTCCAATGGTGGGCCTGAAGGAAGGGCTCAGAGAATATTTGGAACTCAGATTGATCTAACAAGTAAATATCTGCTTTAGGAAACTCTAGTGTGAACAGTGTTACAGATTTAGATGTGGATATTGAAGACCGCTATTGCTTTTTCAAAAATGCAACCAAATTATTGTATTCTAACTGTATTTAATTTAGAAACCGATTTGAAGTAAACAGTATGGATCTGAAGTGTGTCTGAAACAGCAGGAGATAGGTTAGTAATTGCCGTTTGTAGTGGGGTGACTTGGAGCAGTGAATGCTTTCGTTGGAAATCAAATACGCTATCAAAAGATGACAGTTCATATTAGGTTCTCATAGTGTGTACCTTTTTTGGAATGTAGAGCAGGTGCTTATTATGCAAAAGTTACCTGAAGCTGATATCTTGGGTGAGTGTGTGAAAAGGTATTAAAAATGTCTGATTCCAAAAATAAAACAACAGATCTGGACAACTGTAATCACATAACCTAATATAACTTTTCTATGTGATAAATTTATGCATGACTGTCCAGAAATCAAAAAGGAATATTTCAGATGTCGTTCCCAAGATATGTTACTAGATATTTCTTTAAGATAAATTCAGACTTTTCTTTCCTGTTGAAAACCTGTGTTCCGGCTGCCTAGACAGCTTTGTACAGGTCTAGCCAACACGGCAGTAGGCATCAGTGTTTTTATTTTTTGTAGTTTGCTGACTTTTTCTTCTTTGACAAGCATGTTGTAAAGATTCTTTGGTAGAGATGAAGGATGCTGGTGTAGAACAGGAAGAGCCCCGTCCTCCCGCCACCCCCATCCCCCGCTCAGCACTGGGGGATTTCAAACTGCTTTATTTGTGGCGCACTAAGCAAGGCAGATGGGCCGGAACTCCCCAGTGACTTCAAATTCAGGGCCTTTAAGGGAAAAAATGCTGAGTATTCGAGCGTAAGGCGTTCGGGGCTGTGGGCCGCGCTGAGGGGTCAGCTCTTGGGCGAGCTCCAGCTCCAGGAATCTGACTTGTTCACCTCCTGGTGGCGTGGCTGGGTCTGCAGGGCGATGGCCAGGTGGTCAGGAATGGAAAGAGGTCTGAGACAGCTTGGAACTGTAAGTTGGGGACGTTATCTCAAGAGTAGAACATTCTTCTGTTATCTTAAGCAGAGTTACGTTGTAGAACCTGCTTTACAGGACCAGACGCCGCCCTGCCGGGGACAGGCGAATGTCCCCGAGGGGTGGGGGTAGACCAAGCCCTGCACCGAGAGAAGAGGGTCCTTTGGGAGAGCGCGGAAAGAATTCAACACACACCGAAGTTAGAGTCAAAGGGAGGGTTTGTTAGAAAAGGGGGAACAGTCCACAGAGCGTGGTGTCCGCTCAGACGCAGGGAGGGAGACGGACAGTCACAGAGACAGTGAGAGGGACCGAGAGGGACGTGGAAAGAGGGCGAGCAGGGGGCCGAGCATTCAGGGAATGCAGTGTGTCCAGCAGTTTCGAACCGCGAGTGAGCGTTTAAAAGCCTTTGTCCCCCATCTCCGTGCATCCGGACACAGTGAGGACGGGACGAGCGCGCCGTGGAAAGGCGGGACTGTGGAGGGGGAGGCCTGCTGCAGTCCCCAGCCTTAATCCTCCCGTCCCCAGGGTTTTAGCCACCGGGAATGGCCTGTGGTTCCCGGTTGCCCTGCAGGGCTGAGGGGGTGGTGGGCCTGGCCCAGGGCTGGTCACCGCAGTGCCGCCTGTGATTGTGGCTTGACTAACATTTGAAGTCTCTCACCTCCTCCCTACGGTGACTCCCGTGCAGCTGTGACTCCTCAGGAGGGCTCATTTAAAACTTCCAACTAAAAGCCACGTCCTAACACATCTACTCTGTTCCGATTTGCTGTCGGTTTCATTAATATCTGTAATATGATAGGACCGTGGTCACTCTAAGAGCCCTAATGCCATTTGTATCTGGAAGATTTCATTGTTTTTCCTTGTGAAAGGAAGTAAATACAGCTGGAAAAAACAAAGCCACAATTAACGGCATGTCGCGATACTGTCTGCTTGCATGTGCCACTTTGATGCTGTGTCGGGCCGTCTTCGGTAGGCTGCGTATAGGCAGATGGGGATTTTTAGGTCCATCATCCTGTTCGGGTGAATCGTTTAACTCGAATGGGAGAAAGACGAGGAACAGCGCTAGATTTTTATGAACAGGAAAAAAGTCAGCCTTTAACATTCCCTTTTTGGCTGCTTAACAGCTTGTGGGTGGCTGCAACCCTACATTGTTGTCACTTGGGTCCCTCGGGATATGAAAGTATTGACCAGAAAGGAATGTACGGAAAAATAGCAGAAAGATCTCGAGAATGAAAGATTTGATTGGAAAACAGGCAAAAGGAACAAATTATCAGTGAATAATTTGTGAAAGGGGGCTTAGAAATTGGGTTATCCATTCTTAAAAGCAGTGGCAAAAGTACAGGACTTTTCGCGTGGCCCATTCTCATTCCACAAAGGAGCAGAGAACAGGTCGATGGGTCACTTCTGGTAACAGGGCTTTTAGATCAAGGCGAACGGAAGTGGCGAAACTGAGGGAGAAGCCGATTTTCTTACTGCAAAGTTTTGCTCTTAACTGGACTCGAATGTGGATATCAAATAGGTATTTTCAAGAATATTTACTAAGGCACTCCATCTAGGTTCCTGTATCCTGGTGAAAAATATCTTGCCTCAGTAATAGTCTGTCCATGTAAAGTTTTAAGCTTTTGCTACATGATAGGTTTTAATGTCAGTGTTATTATATGTATTAAGTGATATTTCGCCTTAAAGCTCTAATCTCCACTAAGACTTGTACTCTTTTTTTTTTAGGACAGCCAGTAGAGGGGACTTCATGTTTTCTGCAGATCGTTTGGTAGGTGGAAGCTTTCCGTTTTCATTTCATTACTGTTCCTAGTGATATAATCATTGCGGGCCAAGGGACTTTTTGGTCTAGAGCATTCTGGGGGTGAGAGATTGTGCCGAGTAACCATCATCTCGCTAGACTTCTGACGCGGTCTCCACTCTCGCATTGAAGCTTTGGTCTCGATCCCTTTCCCCTCGAAGCATTGCCCGTGGACTCATTCCCTGTAGTTCTCAGGTGCCGCTGCCTCTAACCTGGTCGTGGGTAACCCTTAAATGCCTCACCTTAGGGCAGTGAAGTACATTAAAGGAAAACCAAGCGTGCAAGGAGACCTAGTAGTTCCCGAATGACATCCATCTAATGCGTAAAAGCGAATACCTCTCGTAGTTTACGCGGGGTGTTTATTTTGCCTCTTCTCTTCTGTACCGTCCTCACACGTGAAGTATTAAGTTGGACCATCTCTGCTTTTCTCGGGGACTTTCTGTTAAGGATTGACCAAGCTCATTTCTCCTCAGCTAGTGAGATCTGAAAGGATCTCAGGCCACATTGGGTTGTCTTCAGGGCAAGCACCGTGTTTCATCCTTGTGATCATATCTAAGCGTGCTCAGTGCTCGGAATGAAGTGGACGCATTTTCTCCTGTGCGTGTTAGCATCCATCCATGCAGGAAATACACATCGAACTCCCGTACGTCAGGCACTGTCCTGGGCAGTGTCACAGGGGGAGGAGATAAAATAAAAAATACAGACGTGGTCCTTCCCTCGTGGAGTTTACAGCCTAAATACTGTTGTCAGTATTTAGTTTGGGAGAGAGAGAAACGTGGCTTATTAATGTTCGTTTAGATTTTTCCCTGAGAAAAATTTGTATTTCAAAAGAATGTACACGACTCCTAATCCACTTTTGGCTTTAAATATTCCTGGTTCAGAGGCCACTTCTATTTACAATTACTTGAGTTTGAGTCGCATCGAAATAAATGTAACTGACATTCCCGGAGGAAGGAACTTGTGTCAGTGGCTGCCGTGGGGAAAACAGAGGTCTTGGTGTTCAATGGTAGAAACTGGTTCCCTTTTCTTTCTGTTGATTTCCTTATGCCCTTTTTCTCTGGAAAGTGGGGGTTAGGATCGTGCTGGTTGTGAAATGCTCCCTTGAAAGTACAGGCACTATATCTCAGTCAAATGAGATCATGAAGACGAGGACATAAGTCAGCCGAGGGGATTGTTGGGGCCGCTCTGTCCTCTGTGGTTGTCTGTGCAGGTCCTGACATTGGGAGGCGGTGGAGCATCTATTTAGGGTTCTAGCTTTGAGGATTTCTAGTACGCTGTCCCATTGTGGTTGACATGAATTCCATCCTGAGTTTATCAAGATCGGCTTCCCTAGCACTCAGATCTCAAATTCTCTAGATTTACTTAGCCGCCCTCCTAATGGTTTTATGTTGTCCTGTAAGGCTCAGACACACAGATTTCTGTGCCAGGGTTGCAGGAGGTGGGCAGGAGGTAAGAGTCTCTACAACACTGTCACTAGGGGGGACCTGGGCTCTCTCAGGGTCCAGGCGCGCAGAGGAAGGAACATCATACCTGGTGTCTGGAGCCTGTTTCTGGAAGTTCTGCTGGGATCTCTCCTCTGTACCCACACATTGAGATCATTAGGAGCCTTTTTTCTCTTTTCGGCTGAGACGCCCAGTGCATTCAAGCTCAGGAAATTGGTTCGACCTCATGTATTCATTTGTTTCCTCCTAAGGAGCTTCAGGCTTTATTGGCATTATTGTGGGCCTCGTTAAAAAGGATCAAACTTAACAATTTCAAAGTACTAGACGAGGCAGAGAAGTTCCCCCGGGCACTGTTTCCAGGGTAATCAGCAGTGTATTCCTTCCGAGGGTGTCACCGTGACTCTTGTCACTTGCTGCACTTGTCCTGGACTGACTGAATGCCAATCAGAAGGGGTAGTTGAGCCTTTTGTTGGCACTCATGTCCCTGACCAAGTCTGGACACCTAGCAGCAAGCAGCCGGGCATTTGGATCTATCTCTGAATCTGACATGTGATGGGGCCCCCTTCCTACTCCATAAGCTAAATCTTTGCCTAGTGTGTTCCTTAATTTTGCCTCGTATTCAGTTCCTGAGGCTAACAGGTGACAGGAGATTCTTAGCAGATTTTCAACTTATTCTTTCTTTGACTCTCTAGATCAGACTGGTTGTGGAAGAGGGATTAAATCAGCTACCGTATAAAGAATGCACGGTCACCACTCCCACAGGTAACCAGGGCTCTTACTCTTATATTTTCATCATAGAAAATCAGGTAGAAGTGTGGGGGGGGGACATGGGAAGAAAGCAGTAAATCAGTATATACGCTGAGGAGTCTAGTTGGAGCTGTTCTTCTAAGCAACTTAATAAACCCAGAGACATTTAGTAAAGAAATTTATGTGGACGGCTTTTTCTCGATGGCTTTGCTTGTCGATTCAAGTTAAAGGTTAATCAGTATTCTTCAGCATGCAGGTGTCGCCTTTCTGGTCCCATCCGGACCAGAGTTAAGAACTGCCGGCAGCTCATCTTCACCTCTGCGGGGAAGCTGCCGGCGTTAGCAAATGGGTGGGCTGCTGGCCATTGAAACTCCAGGTACGAGGATGAGAACAAAGGAAAACAAAGCCCCAAACGCTGAGAACTGGAGAATTGCTTTGTTCTACTCAAATAGAAAGCAGCCAAAGACCCGTATTTCAGGGATTCGAAATTCTGATGTGTTTTGTTTTAGTAAATGATGGAAACCGTGCTTTTCAAAGTCCACTTCACAGAAATCGGGGGCTGAGCTTGCTGTGTCATAACCGATACAAGTCCAGGACGAAACCAAGGGTTGAATATATCTTGGCAACTACTTCCCTGTCTCCCTTCTGCTTTTTAAGGCAGAATGGAGGGTCACGAACAGGGACAGAGAAAGAGGCTCACAGCAGGGCGCCGGTTCGAATCTATGGGGTTTATAGCATTCTCTGAATTCAGTTGGACGAATGTGTTGGTGAAGATCATACTACCATGTATCCTATTCCTGCTTGATGAAGTCCACATCTGCCAATGATCTTCTTATGAAGAATTAAGAAATAGCTATGGAAAATCTTGCCCCTTCTCTGTGTTTTCACGGGGAACCTAAGATGTCACACAGTGCTTCTGGACAAGGGCTGCACAGTGCCCATCTGCTTTAAACCATAGGCACATTATCAAATAAGTAGGTTGGTCCAGTAATGAAAGACAAATTCTTTGGTTTTCTTCCTCAACAGGGTACAAGTATGAAGGAGTGAAATTTGAGAAGGGAAACTGTGGGGTCAGCATAATGAGAAGCGGTAGGTTCGCATGTGCTTGACTGTCTGTTTGCATGGAAGCGCTTGCCATTTTCCCGGGAGAGAGGTGGTCTTGTTTGTCGTGATTGCAGCCCTCCGTAGCTTGAATCTCACCGTCTGTGTTGTCTGTCCTCATGGTGCCTCGAAATCATGGCCTGTGTGTTGCTGAGTTTGGCTGATTTCGACCACAGAGCATCTTTCCTGGCGCCTGTCCCCATGGGCAAGCCAGCGTTCAAAGAGATTCAGGGGACAGTGGGGGGATAGGAGGATGCGGAGGTGCCGTCTTGTGGAGAGTAGAGCAGCTCGATGGACTGTGGCACAAATTCAGACCTGCAGTACTGTGAATGCGTGGCTGGAGAAAATATTTGTTCTTGGTTTTTTGTTTTTTTGTTGTTTTTTTTTTGTTTGTTTGTTTTCGTTTTGTTTGGTTTTGGTTTTGGTTTTTTTGTGTGCGGAACAGTCCTGCCCTCTCAGGAAATGGACCGAATGGCTTGTTCAATTTTTTTAGTTGTGATCATGTAGGCAAAAGCACTCGCTGTTGTTTCCAAATACTGGTCTTATAAATGCTGGATTTGTGTTTGAGTACAACCGATTACCCTTCCTAACCAACCTCTGTTCACCAAATCACGGGGCTGTAATTAGAACCCATACCTGTACGTGGGGATGATTATTTCCATCTAGCAACTTTATGGATTAATTCTTTTTTGCACAGGATCCAAGGTACAGTGGAAGCCCCGCTCGCTTGCGCTGGAAACGGATGATTTTTTATAACATATAAGCATTCCCTTTTTTCCTCTGACTATGAAGTTTGTGAACAATTGAATAGGTCAAGTGAAACAGGAGCTTTAAGCGCCCTTCGTATTAGACTAGCTCTTAAACAACGATAGGATTTTTAGGACAATATTGTTCAACCTTTTAAAGCTGATGACGACAACGTACATAGGCTTTTAAGGCACAGTTTCTTCTGTTCTAGTCCAGTTCCTGCCCTAAATAAACAATTTAAAGAAGACGATTGAGTAAATAATCGTACAAGTAGAATTCTGAAGTGGCCTAAAATCTGGAAGGTGGTATGAGGATGGCTGACTTTTGGCCAACACGTCCTTCAAAGAATTCACACTCAAAAGTAGTTCCGTGTTCAGAAACCGGGGTCGGGGGTGGTGCTGTTGGCCGTGGTCCTCTGAGGGGAGAGGGAACAATATGGTATTTTTTCACTATTTGCCCGTGGAGCCTCTGCCACCGAAGCCACGCTGGGGCTAAGCGACGTCTCCTGATGCCGCCCGGATCTGAAAGGAGGTCCTTCGGTCTGTAGCCCCCGTTCTTCCATGACCCTGCATATTTTTTTCAGATGAAAGTAACAGGTTTAGTCGGTTTAAAGGCTCTCTTAAAATAATGCGAGGAAAAGCTCAGCTTAACAAAACACTTTATTTCCTGTAATTATGGCAGCATGACAGCTCCAGAGTCGCAAGCCAGCAATGAAACTAGCTTACCCTACAGTTGCGTTGACCAGCCCGTAACCTAGTTTCGTTGACCTGCATTGAGTAGGAAATATGAACATTTCAAAAGGAAACCTGTTTGCGTAAGAATTGCTTCCATCTTGACGATGCCCTTCGGCCTGTTCTTGGACTTTCTTTCACTCGATCGCCCCCTCACCCTTTTCGCCTTTTTTATTTCCTTCTTCAAGGTGAGGCGATGGAGCAGGGTTTACGGGATTGCTGTCGATCCATACGGATTGGGAAGATCCTGATCCAGAGTGACGAGGAGACACAACGAGCAAAAGTATATTATGCCAAGTTCCCTCCAGACATTTACAGGAGAAAAGTCCTTCTGATGTACCCCATTCTCAGTGAGTGGCTTGAGCGAAGGCAAAAACTGTTTCCAAATGTGTTTTTTGTCAGTTAGATTTGGAGTCGCCCTGGGCACTTCACTGGACAGTCTTACTTTGTAATAACAGAGTGTACATTAGCCCAACTCCATCAGCGCCGGAGCGCCTCTTTCTGAAAACGCACACGTAGAAGCGAAGGATCTAATGAGGCGAAACATGTGAAACTGAAAATATATTGAAATATATCCCCTCTCTGCCCAGTGAGTTACGGCCTGATTTTCTCAAGGATTTGTCCCCTCTGCAGATGATACGTTTTCTCTTCTTCTGTTCTGTGCCTGAAGCTTAGTCAGATCTCACACATGGCATGATCTCCTAGGGTTGGGGGTGGAGGCCGTGTGTTAAATTTGACATCTCAAGTACTGGATGAATTTAGGGCTTGTGCATTAGAAAACTGAAAAGCGTATGTGTCGTGTTCATTGTTGAAAATAACGTCCTCGGTAAAGAACAGGTGCCTTCGAATGAAGCTTTCCCTAGTGGCATCTTATGTCAGACTACTACACTGCCTTTACTTCAAGAAACGTCAAACACATTTTGAGACAAATGTTAAAGTCGGCGATGCATTTGGTTGTCGTTTGATTTTAGGCACTGGGAATACTGTAATTGAAGCCGTAAAGGTCCTTCTAGAACATGGAGTCCAGCCCAGTGTTATCATCCTTCTCAGCCTGTTCTCCACACCTCACGGTAAGTTCAGCGCGAGGCGGTAACGGGGGCCCCGGACGGTCACTGGGTGGGTAAGTGTGCATCTGTCCAGCCTCTTCTCCTGATGAAGTTTATTTGCATCCACAGTAAATCCGAATCTAGTTTTAGTAGTTATTACGTGTGTTTGTCATTCTAAGCTTACTGACAATATTTCACACCGTTCCGATGTTGTCCAGATACAAATAAGACAGTCTGAACTAACCTCAATGAAGGGGATCGCGCTCGTTTTCCTGGTGGCCCTGTTTGGGTAGAGCCTGCGAATAGCCGAAGGGTCCCTCTGCTCCCAAGGGCGAGGTTCTAGCTAGCCCCCGTGGTCTTACTGAAGTCAGCTTCGCAGTGTGTAGCAAAGAGTTCAAGTGTTTTAAGCTAGACTTCTGCTCAAAGGGTCTGTGATAGAACCGTGTGTTTCACTTCCTGAGGGAGGTGAGCCTCATTTAAGACCCTTCTTTCTTGCCATATGATCTAGGACAATTGCAAAAGTATCCTAGTAATCATAGATGCACATAGAAATTTAGCTTTTAGGCTTTTCATTTACATTTAGTGTAAGAAAAAATTTGAAAGTATGTAAATGACTTACCATAATGAAATGGTTAAACAGATATATATTCAAAGGATGTAACGTTATGTAACTTAAATCATTTTTAAAAATATTTAATGACATCAAAAAAACTATGTGGTAATATAAAAGAGCAGGATAAAAAAATAAGAGTGTTAGAGTAGTGTTGAGTGTCATCAGCAGGTTCAGAGATAGCTTATACAAGTTGTGACTGTTATAACCACCAAAATCAGACTTGGACTTAGGGAACGTAATAAATCTGTCCCAGCACGAGAGACTAGACGGACGCACAGTATCGTTTCAATTTCATCTTAAAATACACAGTAGTGGTTATCTTAGGATGGTTGGATTCTAAGTGATTTGTTTTGTTTTTAAGCTTTTTGATGTTTTTCAAATGTTTACAATGAATGTGCATTTGTTTCATGATTGAAAAGAAAGAAATATGTGGCTCCCAGTTAGGACGGGCTCTCATTTCGAAAGGCCCCAAGCCTCAGCCAGCCCTGAAGAGGCTACAGTGTGTCTAGCTGGGGAGGGCTGCGTTCAGTGGGCCGTTGGTTATTTTCCTGTTTCCTAATTTTAAAAAATTACCTGTGGGTCAGATGTCGCTGGCGACAAAGGGTGATTTGCTTGGTCATCCACTTAAATATTACAGGTGGCATTGTAAACATTGAGATAATCAAATAATTATCAGGTTTTCTGTCTTTGGGAGTAGAAAAGTAATTGTCTTAGGTCTAATAGTATACATTACAAGACTATCCAATTGCTTGACATTAGAGATGAAAAAGTCACGTTCTGTGGCGGCCTAGCTGTGGCTTTTTAGTTTGAGTGGGGTACTAAGTTGGTCCCTTTCTCTAGTCCCTGCCCTGCCCTGCCCTGCCAAGTCTGGAGTACCAACTCCTACAAAGCAACCTTGCTCGGACTTACGAAAGAAGTCCTTGCACCTGTGTTCCAGTTGAAAAACCATCTCATGTTTGATCCTGTTTTCAGAAAGAACTATATCCTCTCTATTCCCACTGCCTTTCAAGTAAAACAAAAGAGACTCTTCAGGGGAAAGGTGGCTATAGCTGAGTATATTTTTCAAATCTGGGATAGAAAACAATTTGATTTAAGAATTTATTGGTGGGCGAGTGGGCGGGAATGTAGTCTGACTACTATCAAAGCTTTTCAGATATCAGACATTACAAAAAACTAATACGAGATGATGCAAGTCTGGCTAGGTATCCAAAGGTCATTGCTCTCTGTCTTTGGTCAATATGAGACCTAGAGACTGACTATAAAATTCCTGAACTGCAACTAATGTTACCAAAAAGTCCTGCAATAACAATGTTCTTCCTCTTATTTTTCGAAGGTGCCAAATCAATCATTCAAGAGTTTCCAGACATCACGATTTTAACTACAGAAGTTCATCCTGTTGCACCAACACATTTTGGACAGAAATACTTTGGCACAGACTAAGTCATTGAAGGAAAATTCATTATCTTGTGTCATATTACAGTTATGTTTTGAGTTTCTGTCTGTCTTACGAATTCACTTGAGGAATGGCAGAGAAGATTGTGTTAAAGATGCTTTGTAATTTTTAGAAGTGGGTATAGTTGAAAGGAAATATTTGAGGCTTATTTATTTTATTCGGTTATTTCTTGACCGTTGACACCAAATTCAACAATGACACACGCGCAACTCTTAGAAAATATTTCGATAACGTTCTTTATGCAAATTGCTGAGCCCTCAGTGCATCGAAGCTATTCCCTCAGTTATGAACCTCTCAGTGTGCAGGTCGCTTGCAGCCTGAAATCAAACTCAAACGGGAGTCAGTTCTTTGGCCCGCTATTGTACTTCGTTAGTTGGTTTTTAGCTCTAGGGAGCCTCGTTTATGTAGGTTCAGTTCTGTTGTCACCTTCCTCAGCTCTTTACTTCCCTCTACTATACATGCTGGTACCTTGGAGAGGATGAAAAACATTTTCTCCCGGAATCTTCCATTTCCGTAGTATCTTCACTCAGTTGCATATATGGTTAGCCCTTCAGTCAAGCCATTATGTTCTTCATGGCTCATGTCCTACCCTGTGTATTTCCGGTCGGTGCCTTGCCAAGTAGGTAAAGAAGTTGGGGCGTTTCCTGCAAGGGGAACTGTAACGTTTACCTGCTTAGATTGAACCGGAGATGTCTGGATGCTGACAAGGGAGGGCTAAGTACCGTTAATGCCTTCGGTGCCCCAGCAAGGAACTGGTGGTGGTTTTTCTGGGGGAAGGACAGTTTCTTGCTGGGTTTTATGGCTAATAATTAGATTAAAATGCTTGATTTTTAATTTGAATGTTTCTGCTAGAGGCCTTTGATTCGGAAATTATTTTGCATGTTTGTCAACTGTAGATATAGTAAAATGGGAAAAATACCATGATATATTTTTTTAAGTCCTTAAAATCTATGTATTCGTATTTAGGCTTCTAAAAGGAAGATAAATCACTTTAGAAATCACAGTTTCTGTTCTAAAACTTGCTCGTCAAACCCCGATCTCATTTTACGTTGATACTAAAACACTCTAACTGGCCGATTACTTGATTAATTGTCCTCTCAGCCGCAGAGGCAGCCGCTGCGGGCCGCCGTTTAAGAAAAAGCAAGAGCAGAAGGCGGTGTTAGAAAGAGCCAGAGCTGGTGAAAGTCAGCAAAGAGGGCGAGGGATTCGGAAGGCTGCTGTGGGACGGGAGGGACTGCGTTTCCCGCTGCGATCTCGGAATGCTAGAAGGACTTCACTGTATTTTTGTCTTGCTGTTCGAGGACTCTCATAATAAAGTGAGATTAATCGATAGATTACTCACATTATAATTCTTCCATGGCAGATGTTGCTTTCGTGTCCTTATTGGAATTACTGTCTCTACTTGTCAGTTAAGTCTTTTGGTACAATGTTGATTTTGTTTATTCCCGATTAGAAGAAGCTTGTAACTGAAGCCCATGAAAGGCAAAATGTTTTTCTCCTTGTCCCAGGAAAGACGGCAGCCAGCAAACGAGATGGAGACAGGGTCCGCTTTAGATGGCTACGTTGAATTAGTTGGAAAGGTGATATTTACCAGTGTAGGAGTCAGTGCTTCTGACTTAGTGCTTATGTCTGGGCTTCGACATTTTGTTGGAAGTCTAGAACATCACACAAATTCATATTCAAGTATCGATATAAAACCATATTTTGAGTGAATTATTTTTATACTAGCAGCCATTCGGATTGAATGTGTCTCTGTTCCTTTTCATCACTTAACTTGATGGGGAGTTGACTGCGTTTGGTTTCCACATGGGGGGAATTCCTACAGTAACCAGCAGAAGTTATTCAGTGGGGTCACATTCCCGCTGGTGTTTGTCTACTATCCCCCTGCAGATTTCAAGAAAAATTTTAACTACGTCTTCTGAAATTTGGACCTTTTTAGCAAACGAGGCATTATTTGTAAGGTTACTATCTTGCAGGACTCTTTGGGCCCAGGAAATTTTGTACATGACACAAAATAACAAGATTCTTTTTAATGACATGAACCTCAGGGCAGTATAAGCTATGTAGATTCCTTATTGAAGAAAGAACCATTAACAAAATAAAAATGACACCCAGACAGTATACAGAAGTGTTTCTCAAAAGTCAAATGTGGATCAGAACCACCTGGAGGGCCACAGATGGCTGGGCCTTACTCCTAGAATTTCTGATTCGGCAGGTCTACAACAGGGTCTGAGGACATGCATTTCTGAGTTCCCAGTTGATGCTGATGTTGCTGGTCTGGTGGCCACGCTTTGACTTCAGACATTTCTTCTTTTATAACTTAAGGATTCAATGATACAGATTTCCCTCCAAATACTGATTTAGCTGTATCCGACAAGTTCTGATACGTTGCTTTCATGTCCACTTGTGCCAAAATGCTTTCTAGTTTCCCTTCTGATTTCTTCTATCTAGAGTTATTTAGAAGTGTTGTTTAATTTCCAAATATTTATAGGCTTTGTAGATTCCTTTTTGGTATTAATTCCTAATTTAGTTAAGAGAATATACTTCATATGATTTGAATCCTTTTAAACTTACTGAGAGTTGTTTTATGGTCCAGCATATAGCCTCTCTTGGTAAATCTTCCCTGCACTTTTGAAAAGTATGTGTATCCTACTGTCGTTGGGTGGACTGCTCTATAAATGTTGATTGGGTTAAGTTGATTGATAGTGTTCACTGTCAACAAGTCATATATTTTTAGAGATTTTCTGTCCTTTTGTTCTATTAATTATTGAAAGAGGGATATTGAAATCTCTGACTAAAATTTTTGCTTTGTGTATTTCTCATTTCAGTTCTATCTTTGCTTTAAGTGTTGTAAAGCTCTGTTGTTAGGTGCATAAACTTTTAAGGTCGTTACGTCTACTTGATAGATTGAACGTTTATCATTATGAAATGTCTCCTTTTATCCCTGTTAATATTCTTTGTTCTGAAATCTACTTTGGCTGTTATTAATATAAATATGCCAGCTTTTATTTTGATAGATATCTTTTTTCATCCTTTTACTTTTAACCTATTTGTGTTTTCATTTTTTTTTTTTACAAAGGCACTGAAATACTTGTGTTGAAAATAAACTATACATGGCTGATTTCTAAGTTTAATTACTAGTAAAGGCAATAAATATATATGACTATAATTATATATACTACCTAGGACTCTTCAGATACTCTATTTTATCCGGAGTGAGCTGTTTAATAGCTTTAGAATATGTAACGATACTGCCTCTCTCATTCCTGTTTTTAATAATTTCGTTCTTCTCTCTTTCATTTTTTTTTTCATATTTAATCTGGGTTTCTGGTAGGCACTCTAAAGTTGTATCTTGCTTTTTTATTCAGTTTGACAGTCTGCTTTTTAATTGGGATGTTTAGACCATTTTAATTTACTGTGATTATTGTTTGGTTTTAAATCTACCATCTTGCTGTTTGCCTTTTATTAGGCCCATTTGTTCTTTATTCATATTTTCCTCTTTTTCTGCCTTCTTTTAGATTAATCATTATTTACAATTCCATTTTATCTCTTTTAATAGCTTATTAGGCATAATAATTTGATTTTTTAGTGGTTTCTTTAGGGCTTATAGTGTACACCTTTAACTTAATCACAGTCACTTGTACCCATGTAACTTCTTTCGAAAGACAATTCACCGGTATAGAATTCTAGGTTGGCAGCGCTTTTTCTTTCAGTGCTCTAAAGACATTACTTCACTCTTTTTCTTGTGTGTTTTTGATAAGTCTGCTGTCATTAATCCATTTACATTGAATTACAGATAAAATAGGATTTACATCTGTCCTTACGTTATTTTTTATGTTTTTAAAATTGTTTTATATATTTCAATTATAGTTGACATACAATATCATATTAGTTTCAGGTGTACAACACAGTGATTAGACATGTAAGTTACGAAGTAATCACCCCGATAAATCCATTGCCCATCTGACACATACACCAGTTATTACAATACTACCGACTCTATTCCCCATGCTGTACTCTACATCCCCATGACTATTTTGTAATTACCAATTTATACCTCTTAATCCCCTCCCCCTTCACATCTCCCCTCACCCCACAATCTGACAACCATCAAAACGCTCTCTGTGTCTATGAGCTTGTTTCTGTTGTTCGTTTACCCTGTTCTCTAGATGCCACGTGTGACATTTGTCTTTCTCCGTCTGACTTGCTCCACTCAGCACAATACCTCTTGTGTCCACCCATGTTGCTACAGATGGCAACATTTCATTCTTTTATATGGCTGAGTGATATTCCTGTGTGTGCGTGCATGTGTGTGTGTGTGTGTGTGTGTGTGTATTACCTCTTCTTTATCTAGTCATCCATTGATGGACACCAAGGTTGCTTCCATATCTTGGCTACTGTAAATAATACTACAATGAACAATGTGGATGCACATGTCCCTTAAAAGTTTCGGGTTTCTTTGGATACATGCCCAGAAGTGGGATAATTGGGTCCTTCTTTGTCTCTTGTTATAGCCTTTGTTTTAAAGTCTATTTTGTCTGGAGAAAGTCTTGCTTCCCCAGCTTTTTGTTATCGTTGTTTCCATTTGCATGAACTATCTTTTTCCATCCTTTTACTTTCAGTCTGTGTGTATATTTCAATTTGAAGTGAGTCTCTCCTAGGCAGCATATGTAAGGGTCTTGTTTTCTTATCCTTTAAGCCACCCTATCTTTTGTTTGGAGCATTTAATCCTTTTACATTTGAAGTAACTGTTGATAGAAATGTAGTTATTACCATTTCATTGTTCATATTTTTTATCTTTTTTCTTCTTTTTAAAGAAGTCCCTCTAACATTTCCTGTAATATGGCTTGCTGATGATGAACTCCTTTAGCTTTTTTTTAAATCTGGGAAGCTCATTATCTGTCCTTCTATTTTAAATGATAGCCTTGCTTACCAGAAGGGAGGGAGAAGGGGGAAGGGGGAAAATAAAAAGAAATAAAATGTTAAAAAAATTATGTCTATATAGTATGCAAAAATACCATTAAACTAGGGACTAAGGCACCAGCCTATGATCTTGACTGGGCACACTTTGGTTCATAGCATTGTGGTTTGCTGGCATTGTTTGTTTTGTTTTTGAAGGCTGTAGTAGTCCATTTGTTTAGTGACTTTTTATTAAAAAATGTTGATAACAGTTGGATTTATGATGCCATTTTACTTTTTACTTTCTATGTGCCTCATGTATTTTCCTTTCTGTATTCCTCATTTACTGATTACTTTTGATTAAATAGATATTTTCCAGTGTTATATTTTGATTATTTAATAAATTTTCACTATATGTTGTTTAGTGACTTTTACAAACTATTTGGTATAGACTATGTTCCTTCTTGTGTATGGTCAGTGAAGTTTTTCACTTCTACTCATGTTCATCTAATGTTTTAACAGAGATTTTCTCGAATGCCGGGAGCTAAAGATAAAGTTAGGGAAAGCAAAAGAAATATAAATGAAAAACAAAATCACCCCCCTAAACAAACACCTCTTCTGGCTTTTGCATATTGGCTATGGGCTGGGAACTCCTTTAACACTTACGAGACTTGCACTGAGCCAAGGAGAAGCCCAAGATGAAAGCTTAGACCTTCTCAGGTCTTTTCCGAGCATGCACCTTCCCCTGGACATGTACATGGGTGTCTAAATTCCATGGGTGTCTAAATTCCATGGGTGTTTTTATATGTCCTGATTTTCCAAAAAATCTTTCTCGGCTTTTCCTCTCAGGCTTTAAGTGGTATATTGTCTCAGCCATATGTTTTGTGCAAGCATTTGTGGGTTTCCACTTCTCCCTACAGTGTTTTCCAGCAATGCCCACTACTCTTCCAGACCGAGTTCCAAGTTTGGAAAAACTGACACTCATGCCTGGCGTCAGTCGTTTGGGCTGCCTCCAGGCAGGTTAGAAGAGACATATACATGTTAAAGCAGAGGAAGTTCTGCTCTGCTCCCTCTGGAACTAGAGACCAGGATTCTGCAGTGGAAACATGGTCTTCCAGCTCTCCAAGGCTGCCACTACCCCCAGGAGGGTGTGCACGTGGCAAGGGCAAGTCAAATGCCACGAAGCGTCCTAGCATTTGCAAATTTCCTTTTTCGTGAGTCAATGTTCGCTTGGTTGCTGTCAAGATTGACTGTCGTCCAGATATATGAGAAAGTTAATCCTAACAGTTTCTGATGGGTTTTTTTAATGTTTCTATGAGGACAGAAGTTTAGAGTTACTTATGCTGCCACTTTGCTGACGTTTTTCTCATATTTGAAAGATAGTTTTTCTAGATTTGAAATTCTTGTTTGAAAATTTTTTTCTTTCAGCCTTTCAAATATATCATACTTCTATCTTTGGGCCTACACTGAAACAAACTGTTACTATTATTGAGATTGTCTTATACATGGTGAGTCATTTTTCTCTTGCTACTTTCTAAATTTTCTCTTCGTCTTTTCATTTCATAATTTTTACTTTATCTGGCTGTGTATCTCTGCTTTTATCTAACTTGAAGTTTATTGAATGCTTGGATACACAACTTAGTGGTTTTCGTTAAATCTGGCAAGTTTTCAGCCATTATTTCTTTGGATATTTTTTGTGCTCCTTTCCCTCATTTCTCTCCTTGTCCTTTCGTTACACATATGTCGATGTGCTTAATGATGTCACACATTTATTGGATTCTCTGTTCATATTTCTTCATTCTTTTTTCTCTCTATTCTTTGGATGACATAATTTCCATCATCTGTCTTTATGTTTGCTGATTCTTCCATCTTCTAGCTCAAATCTACTGTCGGTCACCTCAGTGAATTTTTCATTTCAATTGTACTTTTCAATCACAGAATTTTATGCTTTCTGGTAAATTTTCGTCTATTGATTTTCTTTATTTGATAAGTGTCATTTATCGCTTTAATTATGGTTTCGTTCTTTCAACATATTTGTTATAGCTACATTGAAATCTTTGCTAAGTATGACACGTGGGCCCTCTCAAAGGAAGTTTCTGTTACTAGATTCCCCCTCCCTCGTATATTAGTCATACTTTCATGTTTTTTTGCATGTTTCATTATTTCTTATTGAAAATTGGACATTTCTGATAATGTAGTAATTTGGGGGGACTGGTCACCTTGCCTTTGGGGATTTTTTGGCATTTTTTTTTACTTTAG